ACTCTGGAATACAAACAAATCTTCTCATGGGAGAAGAGGGGAAATTCTTCAATCTGATATATAAGCAATGTCTCTAGGGAGATGAAAAGATGTTTTTAGACTTTATTACCCTTAGAATGGGAACAAATGACTCTGGAAGAAAGGAAACATTCTCTTTTCGTAGTGAGTCCATTTCCATTGCTCAGAAGGCCTGACCCATACAGAAACACCAAGACAAGAGGAAGAATTGTCTTCTAACACTAATTAGCCCAGCAATGAATTATAAACCCAGGAAATACATTTTCTGACCAGATGATATGAAATAACATACATCTTCTACAGCCTAAAAAAATTAAAAATCAATATAAAAAATAAAAAGCTCTTGATTTGGGGAGACTCCTCCATGTAAGTTACTGGGAATATCACTCTTCTATTGCACATCAATGAAAGAAAGAGGAGGCAGCAGGGAACCCCTCACCCCCCGCCTCATACCCCCTAGGTGTCAAGGATATCCTTTGCCTTACCTGATGGCTGAAATGAGGTCAACCAATATGGAAGTGAACTCAACCAAGTTCAAGTAGTTAGCCACACCGGTCTTCAAAGTGAAACCACCCTCGAGAACTCATTTCACACAGCCCAATTTCCCAGTAACCATGTCAATCCCCAGGGTTTTATGGTAAATAAACAATTTTACAAGAAATATTCACATCCTATATCAACTGTCTTATTTGTTATTCACAAAACTCTTATGAAATTTGTGGAGTGGGAGCTATGATTATCCCGATTACATAGATTAAAACAAAATGCAGTTCCAGAAAAGAAAACAGCCAACAAGACTACACATAGTTGGTTAATGGCAGAAATAAGATTAACACTGTCTCATCATAACTGCACTAGGCTGATACAACCAGGAGACATTAAAATCTAATAAATAATGTCAGCTTTTTTCTTATCGTTAAATGACAAGTATGATCATTTTCAAGCCATTGATTTGTTTTATTGTTTTTGCTATTGTTTTAAGAGTATTTTTAAAAGTCATCCAATTATTTTGGTATTGTGAGGCCTAAGCATTTCACTGTGATATATGAATAAAAGGGCTGGGTTACATTTTATCTTCCTTTCTTAATCATGAATTAATCGATTTTTTAAATTCCTGACATGGTATAGGGCAGACAGGATGGGAAAGCAACAGGAAAAGAGTTATGTTCTCTGAGACTGTGGTCAGGCTGAAGTGCTGGGGCTTTCAATTCCAAGGGAAAGTGAGCCAGAATTTTTGTAATAAATGCCAGTTGCTCTCCACCCCCGAGTATAAAAGAACTTCTATGGCTCATTTTGCTAAGTATATGCAAAATTTGAAGAGCTAAAAGTAAGTCAATATTAAACCTGTTTTTTAAAAATCAGACACGGTCTCAGACCAGGTAACAGTCCTGTGCCTGTGTTCCAGACTTGAGAAATAGACTCATGGGCCATCCCTGGAAGACATGTCCCTTGGCCAGCTAAGCAGCTGTACACCATATCCTAGGCTTGAGAACTAGCCATGCCAACTTTCCCTAAGAGGCACATCTCCAGGCTGACTTAGCTACTGTGCATCCATGCCCCCAGCCAACAAAAGAACCCCATGACCCCAACCTGAACAAGCCAAAACTCAAATTGGCCATTCGACCACCCACACATGCCTACATCTAAAGAAACACCTGGAAAAAAAAAACTAAGAAACACCTGGTAAGCCCACCTCCAGCAAAGTTATGCCACCACTACCACAATCTCAGCCTAGGTTACTGAGACACAAACATCACTAGCATGGATTATTACTGAAGCAACTACACAGAGACTACACTACTGTGTCCATCTACAATCAAAGCTAATGCACCTCATAAAACAAACACCCCAAGAGCCATCTATATGAATATTTTCCTATAAACCTACTCCATATAGTTGGAAGAGGCAACTGTTCCATTGGATTCATAGAATTCAACAGAGGAACACATCAAACATGCAAAAGCAAGGAAATATGACATGTCCAAAGGAACATAATAACTCTCCACTAACAGACCCCAATCATAAGGAAATATACTAAATGCCAGGAAAATTTTCAAAATAATAATCTTAAGGACCCTAAGGAAAATATTAAAGAATATAGATAGATAATTCAATGAAATAAGAAAAACAATTCATTACGTAAATGAGAAATTTAAGAAAGAAATAGATATATTTTTAAATCAAAAATCTCCCAGAGCTGAAGAATTCAATGACTAAAATAAAAAAATACAGTCAAGAGCTTCAATAATATACTAGACCAAGCAGAAGAAAACTTCTGAACTTGAAGACAGGTCTCTTGAAATAACACAGGTAGAAAATGATAACAACAACAAAATGAATAAAAAAGAAAACAAAGCATACGGGACTTGCGGGACAGCATTAGGTGAAAAAATATTTGCATTATAGATGTTCCAGAAAGAGAAGAAAAGGGGAAAGCTGCAGAAAATATATTTAATGAAATCACAGCTAAAAACATTCTAAGTCTTGGGAGAGAGATGGGCACGCAGATCTAGAAAGTTCAAAGAACTCATAATAGATTTAATCCAAAATGGTTTTCTCCAAGGCACACGATAGTCAAATTGTCAAAAATTGACAAAAATTGTCAAAAATTGACAAAGCATTCTAACAACAGCAGGAGAAAAGTGTCAAGTTACATATAAGGAAATCCACATTAGACTAACAATGAATTTCTCAGTAGAAATCTTACATGCCAGAAGATTATAGGATGATACATTCAGTGTGCTGAAAGAAAAAAACAACAACTTGTGAACCAAGAATATTATTCCCAGCAAAACTACCCTTCAGAAATGAAGGAGCAGTAAAATATTTCACAGACAAGCAAAAACTATGGATTTTTTTTTGAGACAGAGTCTCACTCTGTTGCCCAGGTTGGAGTGCAATGGTGAGATCTTGGCTCACTGCAACTTCTGCCTCCCAGGTTCAAGCAATTCTCCTGCCTTAGCCTCCCAAGTAGCTGGGATCACAGGCACCCACCATCATGCCCAGTTAATTTTTATATTTTTTTTGCAGAGATGGGATTTCACCATGTTGGCCAAGTTGGTCCTGAACTCCTGACCTCAGGTGATCTGCCTGTCTTTGCCTCCCAATGTGCTGGGATTACAGGCATGAGCTACTGCATCTGGCCAAACTGAACATATTTATTATAACTAGTCTGGCCTTACAAGAAATTCTCAAGGGACTCTTACATATGTAAGTGAAAAGGTGATAACCACCATCATGAAAAAAAGTAAACTATAAAACTCACTGGTATATCCAATAAACAAAAAATAAAGCTAAATGAATCAAACCTTATTACTACAGAAAAACCACCCAATCACAAAAATAAACAACAAAAGAAGAAAAAAATAAAAGATAATATACAAAATAATCAGATACAATCAATATAATCACAGGAGTAAGTCCTCCCTTAATAATAATAACCTTGAATGTAAAAGATTAAAATTTCTGTTTAAAAGATACAGCTAACTGGGGCTGGGCATGGTGGCTCAGGCCTGTAATCCCAACACTTGGAAGGCCAAGGCAGGGGGATCATTTGAGGTCAGCAGTTCAAGACCAGTCTGGCCAACATGGTGAGACCCCTGTCTTAGCTAAAAAATAAAAAAAGTAGCTGGGTGTGGTGGTGCACACCTGTAATCCCAGCTACTCAGGAGGCTGAGACAGGAAAATTGCTTGAACCTGGAAGATGGAGGCTGTAGTGAGCCAAGATCACGTCACTGCACTCCAGGCTGGGTGATAGAGTCAGACTCCATCTCAAAAATTAATTAATTAATTAATTAATTAAAATAAAAGACATAGACAACTGCTTGAGTAAAACTTCAAAACCCAACTATATGCTGTCTATAGGAAAGTTGTCTCACCTGTGAAGACATACATCAACTGAAAGTGAAGGGATATAAAAAGATATTCCATGCATAAAGAAACCAAAAGCAAACAAAAGTAGCTATACTTCAATGAGACAAAACCGACTTCAAGTCAAAAAATAAAAGGAGATGAAGAATGACATTATATAAGAATGAAGGGATCAATTCAGAGAAAGAATATAATAATTACAAATATATATTCACCCAAAAATGAACCACACAGATATATCAATAAAATATTATTACATCTAAAAAGGAGAGATAGACACTTGTAAATAATATTTGGGGATTTCTCATTCTCAGCATTGAACATATTATCTGGACAGAAATCAACAAAGAAACATCAGATTTATATTGCACTATATGCCAAATGGACCTAACAGACATTTGCAGAACATTGCACCCACAAGCTGCATCACATACATTCTTTTCATCAGCAAATAGAAGATTCTCCAGAATAGAACATATTTTAGGACACAAAACAAGTCTTGAAAGATTTTTTTAAATCAAAACTATATCAAATATCTTATCTAACCACAATGGAATAAAATTAGAAATCAAAGACAACAGGAACCTAGGAAACTACACAAACACATGGAAATTAAACATGTTCCTGAATGACCAATGGGTAAAGGAAGAAATTTTACATAAAAACTTAAAATTCCTTGAAACAAATGAAAATAGAAACACAACATACCAAACCTATATGACACAGCATAAGCAGTATTAAGTGGTAAGTTTATAACAATAAATGCCTATATCAAAAAAACTATATATTTTAAATAAACAATCTAATGATACAACTCAAGGAACTAGAAAAGCAAGAACAAACCAAATTCAAAATTAGTAGAAACAGATAATAAAAATCAGAGCAGATATAAAATTGAGACTATAAAATATAGAATATCAATGAAACAAAAGTTGGTTTTTTGAAAAGATAAATGTAACCAAAGAAGTGGAAAACTTCTGCAAGAAAAATTACAAAACACTGACAAAATAAATTGAAGAGAATATAAAAGAATGGAAAGATACATGCTTATGGATTAGAAGAATTTTTTTTTCTCTGACATTTTCCTGATGACCAGCAAGGCTATTTATTTCTTTTCTTTTTTTCCAGTGGAAAGTAACTTTTATTGAGACCTCACCAGCTGCAAAATCTGTTCCTGGCATTATGCTCCTTCTTCCTTTGCAATTCGGTCTTTCTTGAGTGGTCCCATGAATGCTTTCTTCTCCTCCATGGTCTGGAAACAGCATGTTCAAATTGGAGGTGATGTCAATGAACTTAAGGCCAATCTTCTCCAGAGTCTGCCATTTGGTCTCCACCAGCAAGGAGTTGCAGAGGGTGAGCACTTCCTTCTTGGTTCCCACCACACAGCCTTTTAGCATGACAAAGTCACTGGATTAGGTTTGACTGCGTGACCCCAAATGAGCCAGTCCATTGGCTGGCTAGAAACCAACCAGTTTTTATGAAGTGTCACCATAGTTGACAAACCACCCAGAGGGTTGATGCTCTTGTCAGACGGGTCATAGTCAGTGGAGGCATTGTTCTTTGATGAGTTTGCCATCCTTGATAAGGTAGCTCTGGCTGATCTTACAGATCTTCTTGTTGATCTCAGTGCAGTGATGGTAGTCTTTCTGCTCATTATGTGCCACAGAGAAGGCCACATGGGCAGGATGCCATGCCCCAATACAGGCCACCTCATGCAGGCCTCGGTGGGTTTTGCAGGGCAGCTTCTTGGTTTGCCAATAACTGGTGACCCCTTTGTAGCCTTTACCCTTGGTCACCCCGATGACATTGATCACCTCCTCCTGCCCAAACACTTGGTTCACAGATACCTGCTGCTCCAGCCTCTCACAGGCCCAATCCAGCTTCTTGGCCACAGTGCCTCCGTTCATCTGGATCTCCATCAGGTGGGCCTTCTTCTGGTGCAGAGGAAGCGGGTGCATCTGGGTGTGGGCAATGACTCGGACGACTTGGCAGTACTTCTTCATGCTGCTGAAGTCCTTCTCCAGCTGCTTCTTGTCATCCTCATCCTGCCACTTCTTGTAGTACTTGGTAAAGGCCGTGGTCTTAGATTTATGCCAGTTCTTACAGAAATGTCTCTTGCACTCATCGATGATGTGCTCAGAGAAGATGGCCTTGGAGGTCTGGAGGCCCCGAGGGGTTCCCACATAGCCCACAATGCCCACAACCACTATGGGTGGTGTCTCCACAATGGTCACAGCCTCTACGACCTCCTTCTTGTTCACTTTGGATTCTGGCCTGTTGACTTCCCACACGATGTGGGTCATGCCAGCCTTGTATCCCAGGAAGGCTGTGAGGTGGACCGGCCTGGAAGGGTCATCCTTAGGGAAGCTCTTCACCTTTCCACGATGCCTGCTGCTGGGCTTCTGAGGCAGGAAGTCGAGGGACCCATGTCTGGGAGCAAACTTTCTGTAAGACACCACACTGTCAAATCCCGCTGGTTGAGAGGCTAGTCTAGGTAATCTAGACTAAGAAAAATAGAGAATGTCCAAATAATAAAATCAGAAGCAAAAAAGGAGACATTACAATTGATACCATAGAAATACAAAGGACGTTAGAGACTGATATGAGCAAACATATGCCAATAAATTTGAGAATTAATATTGTTAAAATGATCAAATTACCCGAAATAAGATACAGATTCAACACAATCCCTGTCAACCTACCAATGATATTCTTCACAAAAACAGGAAAAAAAGTCTTAGAATTTGGCCAGGCTCAGTGGCTCACGCCTGTAATCCCAGCACTTTGGGAGGCTGAGGTCAGTGGATCAAGAGGTCAGGAGATCAAGACCATCCTGGCCAACATGGTGAAACTCCGTCTCTACTAAAAATACAAAAATTAGCTGGGTGTGGTGGCATACCCTGTAGTCCCAGCTACTCGGGAGGCTGTGGCAAGAAAATCCCTTGAACCCAGGAGGCGGAGGTTGCAGTGAGCCAAGATTGTACCACTGCACTCCAGCCTGGTGACAGAGTGAGACTCCACCTCAAAAAAAAAAAAAAAAAAAAACAAACCTTAGAATTTATATGGAACCACAAAAGACCCTAAATAGCCAAAGCAATCCTGAGCAAAAGTAACAAAACTGGAGGCATCATAATACCAGATTTTAAAAGATACTAAAAAGCTGTAGTAACCAAGACAGCATGGTATTGGTATAAAAATGGACTCATAGACCAACTGAACACAATCGAGAACCCCAAAATCAATCCATGTTATCTACAGCCAACTGATTTTTTTTCATTTTTATTTTAATTTCTGTACAAAGTAGTTGTATATACTTATGGGGCACATGAGATGGTTTGATACAGGTATGCAATGCATAATAAGCACATCATGTAAAATGGAGTATCTATCCTCTTAAGTATTTATCTTTTGTGTTACAAACAAAAGATAAATGTAGTTATCTTTTGTTATTTTTCAATGTATTTTTAGTTATTTTTAAATGTACTTATTTTTGACAAAGGAATGAAGGATGTGCACTGGAGAAAGGACAGTCTCTTCAATAAATGGTGCTGGGAAGACTGAACATCCCATAGGCAGAAGAATGAAACTAGGCTTCCACGTCTCACCCTATACAAAAATCATCTCCAAATGGTCAAAGACCTAAATGCAAGACCCAAAACTATAAAACAAGTAGAACAAAACATAGAAGAAATATGTCAGGATATTGGTCTAGAAAAAATAAAATTATGAACAAGATCTCAAAAGCACAGGCAATTAAAGCAAACATAAACAAATGGTATAATATCAAATAAAAAAGCTTCTTCATAGCAAAGAAGACAACAGAGTGAAAATTCCATCTACAGAACACTAGAAAATATTTACAAACTATTCATCCAACAGGAAGTTAATATCCAGAATATACATGGAACTCAAATATCTCAACAACAACAAATTTCAAATAAAAATCAGCAAATGGTCTGAACAGGCATTGCTCAAAGACATGCAAATGGCCAAAAAATATTTTTATAATGCTTAACAAACATCAGTAATTATCAGGGAAATGCAAATCAAAACCACAGTGAAGTATCATCTCACCCCATTTAGAATGACTAATATCAAAAAGACAAAAAAAAAAAAAATGCTGGTGAAGATGTGGAAATTAGGGAACTGTTGAAACATCCCCGCTGTTGGTGGGAATGTAAACGAGTACAGCTACTATGGAAAACAGTAGAGAGATTCCTAAAAATAATTACAAATAGTACTACCATATAATCCTGTAGTCCAACTACTAGGCATTTATCCAAAGGAAATGAAATCAGTATATCATAGAGACACCTGCATCACCACAGTCATGGCAGCACTATTCATAAGATATGCAGTCCACCAAGGTGTCCAATAATCGATGAATGGATAAAGAAAATGTGGCATATATACACAATTGAATAGTATTTAGCCATTAAAAATGAAATTCTTTCATTCATAACATGGGTGGAATTGGAGGACATTGTGTTAAGTGAAAAAGGCCAGGAACAGAAATTTAAACATGCATGTTTTCACTCATATGCAGAAACTTTAAAAAAGTGGATCTCATAGAAGTAAAATGTAGAACAGAAGATACTGAAGACTGGGAAGGGTAGGGGGAAGAGAAGGATAGGGAGAGATTTGTTAAGGGATACAACATTACAGCTAGATAAGAGGAATAAGTTCTAGTGTTCTATACCACTGTAGGATGAGTATAGTTAATAATAATATATCATATAGTTTTAAATACCTAGAAGGAGGATATTGATTGTTCCCACTGCAAAGAAATAATAAATGTTTCAGATGATGGATCTCCTAATTCTCCTGATCTGATCACTGTACATTATATGTATTGAAACATCACTCTGTACCCCAAAAATATGTACAATTATAATATGTCAATGGTTAAATAAATTAATATATAAATAATCTATTAATAATATTAATTGCTTTAGAAGCATATTCCTAAACTTCGCTCATATGGTTGAAGTTTGAAACCATTTCTACACATAATAATTTCTATACACATCTAAATAAATTAACCTTAGTTTCTGAGAATCAGATAGAAACTCTCTTCTTTTTCCAAAACAAAAAGTTGTCTTACACAGATTCTTTTTCTTCTTTATTGAAATCCATCTGACTTTTAATAATTTTATGGAGAATTTCATGCATGTAGAGGAAGGTCATTTGAAAACCATTTCTACACGTGATAATTTGAAGTCTGAAAACCATTTCTACACATAATAATTTCTACACAGATCTAAACAAATTAACCTTAGTTTCCGAGAATCAGATAAAAACTCTCTTCTTTTTCTGAAATAAAAAGTTGTTTTGCATAGATTCTTCTTCCTCTTTATTTAAATCCACCTGACTTTTAATCATTTTATGGAGAATTTCATGCCTGTAGAGGAAGATATTTCATGCAAGAAGCTGCAGCCTTCGAGTGCTATAAGTTTGTCCATCAACAGTGATTATGCACATAAGAGAATGCACTTTTTGCATTTCAATAAGCCACAGAATAGTCCAGTTCAAAACATGCAGTTTAATGAAATGGTAATGATTTCATTAATATATCAAGCCATGTCTAATTCCTTTCAAGGAACGTAGGACAATTTACATTCACTCTGAATGCATAATAATAAGTAGCTCAATTGGCAATAGATTCAATGAGTCTCTACAATCAGAGCCCTGATATAGACCTTGTTGCAAAATCATTAGAAATTGTTGTAAAGGAGCATGAATTGAGGTACAATGCTGAAATGGTAGAAATTTATTCTGGTTATAATTATACATGAGGTAAATACTTAAGCCAAAATTGAGGGGTTTATTCATCAAAAGTTTTGAATTCTCAGCTGCCTATCTGATTCTTGTTAAAATGTCAAAGAACTTTTTAATATCCGTTTATACATTGTTCCTTAGAGACCTCCCTGTTAGCAGATGGAAAGAGGAAGAGGGGCTACAGACAGGAAGACAGAGAACCAGAATTGTCCCTAGATGTAGAAGTCAAGAGGAACTGATAAGGTAATTATGTGGTCTGAGGGACTGTGTCAGGCAAATAATCGATATATCATCTTATTTTCACTGCATGATTATCTGTTATGAACTGAATTTCTGTGTTCCTCCAAAATTGATATGTTGAAATCTAATCACCAGTGTTATAATATTTTGGAAATAGGACTTCGGGGAGTTAATTCATTCATGAGGGCAGAGCCCTTATGAATAAGATTAGTGCCTTTATATGAAGAGGCCAGAGAGCTAGCTGGTGCTGTTTACACCATATGATGGTACAAGTAGTCTGCAGTTTGCAACCCAGAAGTGGGCACTCAACAGAACACGACCATGTTGGCACCTTGATCTAAGACTTCCAGCCTCCAGACCAAGAGAAATAAATTTCTGCTGTTTGCAAACGACCAACTCTATAGTACTTTGTTACACCAGCCCAACCTGACTAAGACACCTTCCTACATAGCCTTTACAGTTATCTCCTCATTTTACAAATAAGAAAATTAAGGCTGGAAAGAAAGCTGTCCAAGTTCATACCACTGCTATTTTGGAACTGGAAGGTCAACTCCATTTTGTTTAACTCTCAAGTCTATAATCCGTTTCACTGTACCATGCTTTTGGAGATGCTCCAAAGGGAAAAGAGTTTCCAAAGGAAGAAAGGGCAAATAGTTTAAATATTCCAAAATGGTTGAAGATAAAGAGGGCAAGACTTGATTTTAAAATTATGAAATTATCAATAACCCTTTTAAGAGCAGGTGCATAGAATTTGTGAGTGAGCATTTGTGACATCATATTGCAAAGAGTGATATGAAGAATAAATGAAAGCCAATGCCATAGCTATTCTTCCAAGAAGTATGCTGGTGCATGGTGAGCAAAGATGCAACAGGAGCTGGAGCAGGCATAGGGTTGAAAGAAGCTTGCTTCAGGGTGGATGTGTGAAGGCTGAAGGAGGGATTCACAATGGGGGCAAAGGCAGAGATCCTGAATGCAGCAAGATCCCAAAGGAAGGGCAAAGGCCCTTGTGAAGAGATTGGCCTGGAAGACAGAAGGGGCAGGGCAGAGGAGCAAAGTGGACCAAGACACAGAGGAAATTTTATATGGAGGAGGAGGCAGAGAAAGAATTCCACTACTAAAAGCAAGAGTGAAAGAGGAAGATTGGGAACAAAGAGACTGTCCTCACAGCTATGATATGAGAGTGGTTTTTATGGGTAAAGTGTCTCCCAGGTGGTGTCTCCTTTATTTTGAGACATCCAAACCAAACCTTGCCAATGTGGGTGGGGGAGAGAGCATTACAACTTTGTTAGCACTGAGTTCTGAAACTATGAAACTCTGAAGCAGAAATCAAGTTTAAAGTGTTTAGCAGATTAAAATTATCCACCACTTATTCAGTGCTTACTTGGCACTGAGTGCTGTACAAAAAGCTGACCTCGCTGAGTGCAGTGGCTCACGCCTATAATCCTAGCACTTTGGTAGGCCAACGTGGGTGGATCACTTGGGTTCA